TATGCTGTGGTTTGTTTCTATCCTCTTATTTTAATTAATCAGACTATTACTCGTGTTTCTTCAAAATGTAACTTGCTCTAAGGAATGCTTCTTTTAAAGGACTATGGAAAATATTAAGATATACTGTATTAAGATATACTGTAAAATGGAAAATATTAAGATATACTGTTTGGGAAAAAAAAAGCTTTTTGGGAAACATTTCAGGTTTAGATAGTATCCGCCACTACAGATGCTTAATGCAACTCAACTGTTCCAAGAATGGCTCACTCCAAGAGTCATTCACCTGCATGAATCTGGCCTGGTGGTTAATGTCTTTGATCCCGGATACTTGGGAGGTTGGGACAGGAAAGCCCTAATCAGATCCAGCCTGGGCAAAGTTAGCAAGACCCTTTCTAAAAAGTGAAATGAACAATCAAAGAGGCTGGAATAGTGGCTTAAGTAGTAGAGTGCTTGCTTAGCAAAGGTTCAATTTCCTGTAATAAGAAGGTGGGAGGAGAATGTCTAGTAACATGAACATTCTCTGCAGGATTCTCACTAGGCAAAACCGACTCAAAGGTCCTGATCGCAGCCCACAGAATCAGTGTCCGAATTTTAATATTATCCCCAGATGATTGCGTGTGAATTAATCTTTTAATATCCTAGAATCATGCTAAGCAAGTATTCTATCACTGAATTATATACCCCAACTCCCTCCAAAATTTAAAGAAAATACCAGTCTGCCAAGTTTCCACTATCAGATATTTCTATTACAAAAATAAATAGGCTTAATCTTGTCAAAAGTTGAAAATAAATTACTTGCTTCAGGAAAGTACATAGTGTGCAATTTTTCATATGATTAAATAGATCTAGTTGTATGCTGAATCCAGTTGGGTAGATACAGAGAAGCCACATTTTGAGAGGTCCAGCTGGGAGTCTTGATTAGAAAGCTGGCGAATGTAGGCAGACTCCTGTGTCCCAAAGGCCTGCAGCCCTGGGAACACACTTAACACTGGTAGAAAACTAAGCTATGAAAGCAGGAGAGGAAAGAAAGAGCAGAAAAACAATACTAACAACCCACATCATCCCAATGGAGAGCTGAAGTGGGGAGCCATGTTGACCAAGGCCAACCAGGAAACAGGACACAGTACAGGAGGCCTGACATAATGGCGTCTGAGCTCCTCTGACCATAAAAAAGGGTCAGGTCAGGAGACAGGGTCACAGGAAACTCAGGAGTCTCCCAAGTTCGTGGCACAGGGCTGACAGGTCCAGGAACCTATCATCCAATTCCCTGCCCCTGGCCTCTATTCAGGCATGCCCATCACCTGGGAGGTGGGACTTCCCCTTCCTCCACCATGAAGACAAGATGGTGCCAGCTAAAATCATTTCCCTATCCACCACGTGGTCAGACCCAGCAGACCCACTTCAATCTCAAGGAGTAACATTTAGATTCATGTTTCAGGGTAGACTCCAGAGTTTTAAGAATTGACCTCAGTGCAAGATGATGCCCAGTGTTTCTCCTTCTTTAGGTTTTCTAGCCTGCAGGCTATGGTTCACTTGCTATGTAGTTGTAACTATACAGAACATTGATGCTGAACTGGCTTTTTAGACCTCAGACCCAAAGTCCGGGAGTCTACAGTTATGCCCAGCTACTTGTCCGCATGTGGCAAATAAGGATAAATGGTAGGAAAGAAGCTAAATAGTGTATCCATGGGAAGACAGCACTTCAGTCAGCAGCTGCCTTCAGCCATCTTCAGAGATATGGACATAGGCTTCAGGTTATGTAGGTGGAATTAGGGACTGAGAGTAAGTAAAGCATACATAGTTAAAACAGTTTCTGATCACAGGTATGGCTCAGTCTTTAATGGTCGTTAGAGGAGATTGAGAAATACTATTTTATTACTAGACTAGAACTAGAACAAGATGACCACCTGAATTGGGTGCTGTTTTCTTTAAGTTGAAAAGAGGAAGGGGTTGCCTATTGGAGGGACAAATTGTCCCCAATACAAGATTCTTATCAGTGAGTCTGATTTTTCTTCAAGTACAAGGTGATTGCAAAATGAAATGCAACAGAGAATAGCTCAGGGCAAAGGGCACAAATAAAAAGTTGGGGGACTTGTAGGTAATTTACAAGACCCGACAAAAGCATCTTTTAGGTTGCCTCTTACAATATTGTAGGACAAAGAGCATACAAGAAGTGGGAAAAGGGGAGTAATCCTTACTTTAGGCCTAGCTATGTTCTTCCTTTGCTCAAAAATACTGTATGTTTATTTTTGGTCATGCCAGTGTATCATGCATAATTGTGTCATGTTTATGGATTAAGAGAATTAATTACTTTCAAACCTTCTTCACACTGTCAAAATCAGGAATGACCCATTAAATTTCACTAATCATTCATTTCAGAGTAGTTGTCGATTTATCAGCAGGTTTTGAAAGATACTCCTGAACATCTCACAAAGTACGTAACATGATGTGATTTTCAAAATCCGATTTCTTGGGTTCATATTGTGGACTAGTTTGAGAGCATAGCAAAAACATATCCATAAGCATGTTCTGTAAAACGTAAGATCTTAGAATGAACAAAGGGGATTAAATAAAGCATCCATTGACATTTTACTGCTAAAAAGAAATTTAAAGATACAAAAATCTGTGGAGGGAATTATAATGATATTCATTATAATTGTTCTCAAAAAAAAAACCCAACCTATCAACTCTAAAGAAAATTATAACAGGCCTAATTAGTGTTCAAATTCTTCCTTCTGAGAAATAGCTTCTTTTTTTTAAGGTAATTGGGCTGCATTAAAAAATGTTCTTGTTTGTATTACCACATGCTCTTTCTTGCCTTGTAGTAACAAACCACACTCAGTATAGGAAATGAAGAGCTTGTGTTGTTTGCCATTTGGTTTTAGTTTACTATTTTTATCCATCGTATACAGTTTAGAAGGTAAATAAAAACAGACCATTTCCATCTGGCAGTATTGTTTTCAAAAATATCATATTAGGATTTAAGATAATTTGATCAAAACATTTAAAATGTTTATCTGGCTTATGGGATGATTGAAAGAAAAGCTGATGCAGTTACATTTTTAAAAAATATTTTCCTCTGTCGGTGTCTATATCTAGCTCATATTAGATTTCATGGTTATGAATCCTGACTCCAACAGTTTCAAACCATGTGGCTGAAGTCAGTCATTTCTCCAACTCAGCAAAATGGGACTAAAAATCAAGCCTATTCCCTACTGTTACTTTGAAGTCTAAATTTGAAAATGCATTAAGATATTTGTTAAGAAATATTTAATACAGAATCTGATCTATGACACGTTGGGTATTGCACTGTTCTATTCTCTCCTGCTCCATTCCCACAGTCTTGGAGCTTGAACTCAGGGCCTTGTTGCTGTCCCAAGGCTGTAACAGACTACCACTTGGACTGCAGCTCCACTTTGGGCTTTATCTGAGTAGTTTATTGGAGATAAAAGATTCAGGGGGCTGGGAAGGTGGCTCAGTGGTAGAGCGCTTGCTTTGCATGCATGAAGCCCTGGGTTCAATTCCTCAGCACCAAATAAGCAGGGAAAAAAACCGGAAGTGGCGCTGTGGCTCAAGTGGTAGAGCGCTAGCCTTGAGCTGAAGAGCTGAGGGACAGCGCCCAGGCCCAGAGTTCAGGCCCCA